AATGTAAATTATATTTGGATGTTTGTTGTTGAATTATACTTAAACGATTGGATGATTGCAATTTAGTAAAGACATGGGGTTAACCTACTTCTCCCCCTCAAGAGGGAGGTGCTTTCCTGATGGAACACCTGAAGTACCAAGGATCCCTACCAGCTAACGATAACTTGGTGCCCCGCCAGCGTAAACCGTTAGCGCAGGTGGGTGCACTATTCCATTATCATCCTTTAAAAAAAACTCGATGTTTTCGAGAAGAAAGGGGATTGTTAGTAATGTGGACTAATGATCTTATTTCTACCAATGTACCATGTCAGGTTGACCTCATAACCATTGTGATAAATTCCTGGTGAATTTGTCACGATGGGCTAACTGACCTGACCTCATGTTCACCTTGTCATCCTCCACTGGTGCCCCGCCAGCGTAAACCGTTTAACGCAGGCGGGTGCACCATTCCATTATCATCCATAAACTCGATGTTTTCGCCCAATCGGCCGTTACCGAGTGACAATCCTGATTCGTTATACTCAATGTAGAGTCCTAGAGACTCCTTACGTCATAGGGAAGACCTTGATTATTTCTAGGAGGCTCTGGAGCATAATTACATATGTTGACATGTCGTCTTAGTGACATTTTTACATTTTTTGATACTAATAGTTTTATTAGTGATTTTTATTTGACAAAAGATACAATGTATCTCTCTAAATCATCTAAAAATAAAATAGCCACTTTAGTGGCTTATAATATTGACTACATGAACAGTTTACATGGTAAACTTAAACATAAAAATACTGACATAACAAATAATTCTATTAATATTTGTGACATAAATACTATGACTGCAGATTTAAACTGCTCACAAAGACAAAGGGAAAGCAATCAGAATTAATAATTGTTCATCAGAACATACAAAGTTTTCCCGGCAGCGAGTTAATTATACAATTATTTTTAGAAAAGTATAATATTGATATTGTCTGTTTCACAGAACATTGGCTTAAAGAGAGCAATATGATGTTCAATTTAAATAATTATAACGTTGTCAGCTGCTTCAATAGAAAGTCAGTTAACAGAGGCGGGTCTATGATAATTGCAAGAAATAATATTAAAGTAAAGGAACGTGCTGACATTGTTAGACTTTCTATTGAGTGTTGTATAGAATTATCTTGTATAGAACTAGAAAATTATATCCTTATATGTGTGTACAGGCCTCCTAATAGTGATTACAATGTTTTTGAAGGGGTGATGGAGGATATTTTAAAAAAAATATTTAATAGTCTTAAAAAAATTATTGTATGTGGAGATTTTAACGTTGATATTCTTTGTAATACACCCACATGTACAAAAATTATTAGTTTATTTCAGTCATTTGATTTAAGTCATGTCTTTCATGAACCCACTCGTGTAACTGCCACATCTGCTACTTGTCTTGACAATGTTTTTTGTAACTGTGAGTATACAGAAAAATTCATAATAAATAAACTTCCTTCAGATCACTGTGGTCAAGTTGTTAAGTTTAACAGTCAGATCAATAAAGTCAACAATAATAAAAAATCAAAAAGACAAATAAATGTTTACAATATTAACAAATACAAAAGCGCGATTAAAAATAAATTGGATTTGCTGTTACAATATAGTAATAATCCTGATTATCTTTACACCAAGCTAATTACTATTCTATCAGGAGAATATGAACAATTTTTCAAGAAAAAAGAAGTTTATGTTAAATCTAAATTCACGGAATGGGCAACAGTAGGTATACTTAAAAGTAGAAATATTTTGTTTGATTTATACGATCAAAAAAAATATCGATTTGATGACAAATTCACCACTTATGTGAAAAATTATTCAAAAATTTTTAAAAAAGTTTGTATTACGGCTAAATCTAATTATATTAATAAACAAATTAACCAGTCTTCTGACAAAATTAAAACCATCTGGGGCATTATAAATAAAGAAACCGGAAGATCTAAATTAGCCTATAATCAATTTGCATTAAATTATGATAATAAATTAATAACAGCAACAAAAGATGTAGTTAATGTTTTTGAAGATTTTTTTGCTAATATTCCGATTAATATTACATCTTCTCTGGACTCATCTCCATCTCGAGCAAAAATATTACTAGAGTCTAATATCGGTTGTTGTGCTTTAAGATTTAAATTTTCACATGTTAGCCCCGTTCATATCATAAAAATATTCAAACATCTAAATTTAAAAAATACAGAAGACCTTTGGGGCATGTCTGTAAAAGTAGTTAGTTCTTTCATAGATATTGTTGCTCCATATCTAGCTACTATTTTTAATAAATGTATTGATAATGGGACTTTTCCACAATTAATGAAATTTAGCAAATTAATCCCACTATTTAAATCAGGAGATAAATTTGAGCCAGGGAACTATAGACCTATATCTATTTTGCCAGTTCTAAGTAAGGTGTTTGAAAAGATAATGTTAAATCAAATGTTACAACACTTCAGGGATAACCGACTGCTTCACAGTCAACAATATGGTTTCACCGCCGGCAAGTCTACCACTGACGCAGGTGTAGCGCTGATAACACATATTTTCCAATCATGGGAGAAGTCACAGGATGCACTCGGAGTTTTTTGTGACCTATCAAAGGCATTTGATTGCGTGGATCATAAAACACTTTTGTACAAGCTCGAACATTATGGTATAAAAGATAATGATCTAAAATTAATGAGAACTTATTTAGAGGATAGGGTCCAAACTGTAGATATTGACGGTATAAAATCTAAGGGAGCTAATATTGGAATGGGCGTTCCACAAGGGTCAATCTTAGGCCCCTTTCTCTTTTTAATTTACATAAATGACCTTCCCTTTATGGTAGAGAAAATTGCAGATATAGTGCTGTTTGCGGATGATACTTCGTTAGTGTTTAAAATTGGACGTCAAACTAATCAATTAGACGATGTAAATTGTGCTATGTCTGCTATATTAAATTGGTTTACATGTAATAACCTATTATTAAATTCCAGCAAAACAAAGTGTATAAAATTTACACTTCCTAATGTAAGACCAATAAATACACAGTTATTGCTTAATGACGAAATAGTAAATTTTGTTAATGATACAGTTTTTTTAGGTATAACAGTGGACTCGAAATTACAATGGGGGCCCCATATTTCAAAATTGGCCAATAGACTCAGTTCAGCTGCATATGCAATTAGAAGAATTAGGCAATTAACAGACGTGGCGACGGCTAAACTTGTATACTTTAGTTATTTCCATAGCATTATGTCATATGGTATACTACTATGGGGTAAAGCAGCCGATATAAATACTATATTTATTTTACAAAAGAGAGCCATACGTTCTATTTATGGTATGGGTTCAAGAGAGTCATTACGTCAGTGTTTTAAAGATTCAAATATCCTCACCGTTACTTCACAATACATTTATGAGAATATCATGTATACACGGAAGAATTTAGACAGTTTTAGAAAACTTAAAGACTGTACAAATAGAAGCTTACGCAATAAAAATAAGCTAATTTTACCTAAATGCCGCCTGCACAAAGTCAGTAATTCATTCTATGGTAATTGCGTAAGATTTTATAATAAACTGCCAGAATCTGCACTAAATCTGACAGAGAGGCAATTAAAATCTTATATTAAACAATTTTTATGTAAGAAAGCCTATTACAGGATAGACGAATTCATAGAAGACAACATATCAAGTAAATAATTAGTTTATTAGCATACAACGTTATAATTTGTTTATCTCATTGCTTTCTTGATTCAATTATTTTAGAAATATGAATGCGTAGCGGGTTTTGTATTAATTGCCGCATGCATTCTTATGTGAAATGTGAATACTATAAACATCAGATGGCAATTGTGAGTAGCTATGACGTGGTCTGGTATTTTGAGTAGTCATGCTCACTAAAATGTCCAGACTTGTGGCGGCGTGGTGGGCCGGGTCATTGGGCTCCCTAAAATATGGTCGAGCGCAGTGATGGCTGGCTCATCCGTCATACTCGTGAACGGGTGCTGCTTGTAGGGACTGGTCTGCTCTAATCACTATGACTGATTTCCTCTTATTAATTGTTTAACCAGTTGGTTATGTATTCAATATTTTTTTTCTTTTTGAGTATTTAATTGAATTAGTGCTAATCGGTGGTTTGTATTCACACACTTAAACTTAAATTGTAAGTAAGAATAAATTATTTAAAAGAGCAACACACAAGTTTCTTGCTTGTTCTTCTTGTGATGAGACAGCATTCCGAATGAGCGGTAGATTAAAAAAAAAAAAATGTTATGACTATTCAAAAGTGCTTCAATGTAAGTTTATTTGAATAAATGATTTTCTATTCTATTCTATTCTATTCTAATATGGCAAAAATGCTAGATTTTTCCAGTTGTGGGTAATAAATGTGTTATAATAATGATGCTATTCAAAATGTAAGTTTCTAGCCATGGTACAGCTGAGATGTATCAGGTGTATGAATCATGTGAGATCTGTCAGTGAAATCTCATCTAATTTCATCGAAATAGATATACCAGACTACAGGTAGTCTCTCCTATATCTACAGCCAAGAACTTTATTTCTTTATTTTATATGCTATATTTCAGTTGAAGAGTGTACTATACCAGTGCAGGGTATGCTGGCATGACACTCTTGTTTTCAGGAATGATTGCTATCACCAGCACCACATAATGGACATGTTAAAGTATTTAGAGAGACAGTTGCCACTTACCAGCATATAATCCATCAGTTGTGATTCCAGTTCCGTAAAAAATCTCTGCAAATATTAAAAAGTATATCGGTCACTTTAGAAGCGGACTTGTGACTTTGAAATTGGAATGAATATGTAGACGCTCTCAATGACAGTGCTGTGACCTAATTTTGTAAATTCATAACCATTTCGGGCTCGTCAATGATAACACTCGATTTTGGAACCATAATAAAAATATACGCGAGCATCCACCGGTTGACGGGGGCGCGGTGAGTGAGAAGCTAGTTCAGTGACTCGTGGGCCGCGCCGCTGTGTGGACGGACGTGTACTGCGCGAACAACGCGCCGTACGAGCGCAGCCTTCGCGTGTAATAATATTTTGAATTTGGAATCGTGTGTGTTCTTAATATGAAAAATCGTTGACAGTGACAGGAGTGTTGCAGTGAATGGAATTTTGTTTGACTTAGTTCTATGGATGTACGTTTTTAATTATTTTTATTTTTTTTAATTCTGTGGTGCATATAGACGGATCTGTGAACTTTTGGATTGCGATTTGGACTCGGTAAGTGAGACAGTTTTTTTTTTACATTCCAATACTATACATAAATGAAGACCAAGGACTTTCTTTTTTCATAAGTTTTTAAAATACTTTCTTTAGGAGTAGTGTATTCGGAAAAAAATGAAAATTAGAAACTTTACTCTGTGACTATACTTTTAATTATTGAAAGATAAGGCAAAGAAAATATGATTGTTAAATATACATATATATTTTTTTAATGTAAACTGTGTACGTAGTTACTTGTTTAATTATTTAACTGCAGTTTAAGAGAACAAAATTATTGAAATTTTAAACATGTGTATAGGTTAGCTAATAAATTGTTTACAATAGGTATTTACATTTTACCTTGAATAAGGCCTAAGTGCGACACTATTTGGTTATAGATAATAACTTATGTTTACTCATGATTATCATCTGTAAAGAAATACTATTATTCTAAATAAGCATGTTACATACCTATACATAACATACCATAGTTAAGTACCAAATAAAATGTATTACAGATACTTCATGTATCTGGTACTATAAAACCTATCTATCTGAAGTATTAAATGAGTTACTGAATTCCTGAAAACGATAAGATTCAAAACTTCATACAAATAACACTTAATAAGTATGAAAAACCCATAAAAGTGACAATTCTAGTGTTATTTATATTTATCTTTTTTTTATTTACTAAATCACATCAAAAATTATTATAATTTAAAACATTTTTTCAGATTCGTAATTGTCACTGGCAGTATGGCAACTAGCCCTTTGCCAACAAAAAAAAATACCAATCCTTTTTTTAAATTTCGTTGCGTTTTTTTAGTGTTGTATCCATAAGTGTGCCAAGATGAGTAACGGAGTATTTATAAGGAATTATTATTTAGGAATTGGCCTTGTGTGCTTATCTCAGATTTACGCAGCAACTGTATTGAATCCAATATGATGTTAACATTGAATGAAAGCCCTTTCACAACAAATAGCTACTTACAACTGGCTGACCCACGCAATTTTCTCTGCATCACACTTACTTGACATCTATATATTAATATAACATTTTTTTTAATTATAACCTAATTGTTAAATATTTATTTAATTTTTTTTTTAATTATAACCTATGTGTTATTCTAATGTATAAGTTATAGTACTCTAAAACATAATATCATTTTAAATTATAGCCTTCGTGTCATTCTAATCTATAAGCTATATTACTGCAAACTTTCATCAAAATCAGTTCAATAGTTTTTGCGTGAGAGAGTCAAAAAACATACATACTAAAAAACTTTATAATATTAGCAAAATAAAATTAAATAAATAATCTTTTATGTATTTATTTAACAAAATACAAAATAAAAAACACTTGCATTCTAAAATAACGTTACGTGTTAGTGTAATGTAGGTATATAGAAGTAGGACCGTAATACAAGGCTCTCGTAATACGTTAGTGTTTCGAGCCCTTAGGGTCTTTGAGGTCCAATAATCGTTTTACGAAACTGTGTAAACAACTGCATTTCTGAAATTTGTTACATATAATGATTTTGTAGGTTTCAATCTTATATTGGATCTTAAGACGTAGTTTGTATACTCAGTAGCGCCATCTGGTCGCAAACAAAGCTAAAACTTGTATTAGTAAATACATTAATCCTTTTTTTTGTAAATACACAATGTCGTGATCGTATCCAGAGGAAATTGAAAGTCAACAGTCTCTTAAACTGTAGTTTATACACTCGGTAGCATCATCTGGTTACAAAGCTAAAACATTTTATCAAATTCAAAAATCATTTATTCATGTAGAATATTTTGAAAGTTGAAATTTTTATATTATAATTTTTCCCTACCAGTATATAGATCCAATTAAGAAGAATTGGCAAGAAACTCAATTGAATTACTTTTTTTTAAATGCCAGTTTATTTACAATGTATATTTATATAGATGTCTATGTCTAACATTAAATGAAAATCCAGTGCATGAACAACTATTGACACGAAACTATTTAAATATATATACTATCATGATAGTATCCAGAGGAAAATGAAGGTCAACCTGATAGGGTTTAGACCCTATTATACCCTATTACGGTTATCCCCTCCCCCACACTGCCGAGGTCATTGACATCATATTATATCATCTCCAATAATACATATTAATGCAGTTTTTAGTAATAGATAGAGAGATTGAAAAGGAAAGTTTATATGTATAATATGTACACGTACATATACCGGTAGCTAGCATATAATAAAAAAATCTTTTAAGTTACATCTATTAAACAAAATATATAAACCAATATAATATCCTGTAGCTATTACAATAATCATTGGAATTATCTGTGAGATCACTGTCAGATTCCACTGTTATTTATTCATTTAACTTTAGCATATAACATACAATGAGTATATAATAATATGGCGGATTTAACACCTAGTGATGTTATCTACCAGTTGATCAGGATGTAATGCAGAGAGTATTCTGTTGGTGATACAAGGAAGAACTATATATGACTCCAAAATATATTACCAACCACATATATATACATTGTATATAAGAGTTTTTTCCAGGCGGGATGTACATATATAAAATGTGATATATTTTAGAATTATAGGAATTCCTATGATTTATTTTCTTTATTAAGAAAAAAACTATTATTCTGTAGTATTTTATGAAATGACCAATCACAAGTGCATATTGCAACATTGTGCATTTGTTGGAATAGAGCCACTGCTGAGTTTCTTGCTGCTATCTCTTTCTCACAGCTGATTCTGAATTAAGTATATGATGGTTCTCTTTTGAATTTTTAGGGTAAATTACCAAACAACATAATACCTAGATAATTTACAGTCAATAAAAAAATATATCGGTCTTTAGTTATTAGAATTCCTTCATTGCGTCTTTCATTATAAAGTAAAAATAATATTTATTAATATAAATATAAGATATACACTTTTGCAAAGTCATTTCACTGTGTAACTGTGTAATTGAATGAAAATTGCAACCACAATTCAAGTTGACACAATTCGATGGTAACTCGGACGCTTGGCATCTTTTTATAGAAACGTAAGTTGACACAATTGTTACTGAATTTTCGATGGGTATTCTATTTTTACTGGCTATATTGTTCGCTATGAGTTATATTTGGATATACACTTGTGTATACACCGGATAACTGTATTTATTATATACACACATGGAAATTAGGTAACACAATCAAAAACGTCATTCGACAGTCAGGTTGAAAGTTAGTCATGAATCGTTTTAAAATGGGTTGAATGTTGATAAAAGAAAAATGTTCAAGACAAACGGATACCATTTGTTAGTGATATAGTTAAGAAATTTGGTTTAATACAAAGATTATGTTATATAGTATTGATAAGAAATACAGATAAAACGTGAACAATTTGTAACTATGTATATACACGATACTATTGTACTATAAATTTGACGACCCCAGTGGTATAACAACACATTGTTTTGCTTTCAAATAGTCGCTGGTTCGATTCCCACATAATACAAATAAAATAAGGGTACAGAGCTCAAAATTCTCATATTTTTAGAGACATATATTTACATATTAGAGGGTATTTCTTCAAATTCTTCAAATGCTTCGGAATTAAATTCAAAATTTCTAGCTTAAAAGTATCAACTTTTTTATCCATTTAGGTCATGAAAGAATTTCCTTATATCGATCGTGTGTTGCAAAAAATACTTAATCTAAATAGACATTAGGTATTTTTTGCTCTGCTATCGTAAGTTAGTCAGTCAGTATATTACTATACATAGAGATTTTACAAGTTCGCGTGTCATTCGTTCACTTTTCTACATCAATTATTAGATGATTCAGTATATTCTCAGTTTCGATTATTATAGAACATTACGTATGGGATTATAACACGTATCGTCACGTGTTACGACTCAAATTCCGGTAACGTAACGACGACCACTTTCGTTTAGAGATGCGACTGGTATACCTAGTTCTTCAAATGTTCGAATCACATGTTAATGACTTTGTAGGAACACTTTCACTGAGGTAACAATTGTGTTTTGCGTTTTTTTTCAACCGGCTTTAAAAATACAATCAAATTGGAAAACCTTTCAAATAAAAAAAAGAGTCACCAAAATCGGTTTACGCGAACACAAATACACAACAAACACCGTAAGAATTGAATTGCCTCGATTAATACGGTACTCCAGGATTTGTGTTCGCATGAACCGATTTTGGTGATTCTTTTTTTATTCGATTGTTGCCAATTATTTTATAAAAAAGTTATTTCTCAAATGTCAAACGTTACACATTTTATGTCGTGTTTTTTTTATACGTACAGCTGGTATAGCAATGGGCTCACATTTATTACACTTATATCGAGTACGAGGCACCACATAGATTATCTAATGTAGGTAAAAACTCCATTTTTATGTTATGTATATATTATATATAATATAGTTCTTATCAAGTTATCACATAATATACCTGCATTGTGATAACTGTGAGAATCTTAATGATTATATTTAACTTTAAAAAAAGAAAGTACAGTAAGTAATTTTTGTTAAGCTTCAAAGAAATTGTTACCCCTTTCATTTATGTTATGATTGCTTTTAAATTTTATGTTTTTTTGTTGCCATGGCAACGCATAATGTTTATTAGTTGACAGTTACAAATTTAGTATCTTATAGAATTTGGTCAGTTGCTTATTTTGGTCAAGAAATCTTATTAATAATATTAATGTTATTATAAACCCTATTGAATGCAAATGGCCGAAATTACTTTTAGAAAAATATTAGGTAAAAAATCTTTTGATATGTAAAGCCTAAAAAATCACTCATTTAGGCCATTAAAATCCGTAGAATTTAAAACTTCGTCGTTAAAAAACAAATAAGAGAATGAAATATCGTATCATTACTTTTTTTTTTAAGTATTTTAAAATTTTTCTTAATAATATCTGGTGATTACAGCGTCTGTAAAAAAAAGAAGAGAATGTTTTCATTCTACCGTTTTTTTTTTAATGTTTTTTTAATCTGTCATTATA